TTGGTTTTTTGGTGTGGTTTGTGTAAATGTGAACCTCTTTTGAAATAGTAAGTTATCATTTTGCATCGAATATAACCCCTCATCAGGGGTTAATATTATATATATTATATAATTATATAATATTATATATATATATTGACTCTTTATGACAACAAATCTGAGGGTTTGGTCGAGAATGGCCATGTGTTTGTTCCTTGAGGTCTTTGAGGCCAGCTAAGCCCTGTGTACTTACTCAGAAGCTACTTATTCAGCACCTCCAATGATTAAGACAATGGGCTAGTTCCAGACAAAGAGGTATAAAGGTTTGAGATAATAGCTCTCTGCCTTCAAGGACCTCAGTAGTAGAGATAAGATGTGTATTTTAAAAAGCCCCAAAGGCAGAATATTCTGGATTAGACAGTTTAAAAGACAGTTGAGTGTCATGGATTTAAGTCAAGGCGATTAGGAATTGGCCTGGAATAGCCAGAGCGGCCTCTGGGCACCTTGTCAGATGGGGGCCTCTAGTAGAGTCCAAGATCTGTTTTTACTGACTCATCAAATCTCTTTTAGAAGAGCCTGCATGTCTTATAGTTTGTTACATCTATTTCCGATTGTTGTACATAAATATCAGTATCTCATTCTAAGATCCTCTTAATGAAAAGCTTTTTAGTAATTTAAGAATTTACATTTAAGTTTGATGATCCCCAAATTATAACATCCATTTTTATCTGTCCTGGTACTGAGAAAATGCAGCCTATATTAGGAAGCAGTGTGCTGCAGGAGAGCAGGGGTGAGGCTGATTCCGTTCTCCTGGTGACGTGGTCTCGTCCTCCGCAGCCTGTGTTCTACGACACTCTCCGTGGGGAAGGAGTGAGGTGGAGGATGCAGGCTGGGCTGGAGAGCACCACCCTCACATAGTGACAGAATCTTGGGGTTCCATTCATTTGAATGGAGAGGGCTTGAGGTTTCTCTGGTCCTCACCTAAACCCGATACCCTAGAGCAGTGTTGGTCAGTAGAATATTGTGTAGCAGTGGGATGTTCAGTGACTGCACGTGGCCATTGAGCCCTTGAAAGGTGGCCAGTAGGACTGAGGATCTGAATTTTCATTTAAATTTAAATTAGTATTGAACAGTACGGGAGCTCTGGTAGCATAGTGCCTAAGGCACTTGACTGCTAACCAGAAGGCTGGCGGTTCAAACCCACCAGCCACTCCTCGGAAGGAAGGTTGGGCAATCTACTTCCATAGAGATACCCCCTTAAAAACCCAAGGAGGAGTTGCTTTGAGTTGGGTTCGACTCCACGGCATTAAGTAGTAGTAGTAAGTATTGAACAGCACAGTTCTTGATCAAAGAGCTATGAGTGCACTGAATGTTCAAATATTCTGAGTGAAAATAGGCTTTGAAGACAAAATCTTGGGTCTTGTGTGGGGTCCCCATGAGGTCGTCATGAGTCAAAATCAACTTATGGTTTGGTTTGGGTTTATTGTGTGGCCCTCGACTGACCCTAGATTGGTGTCTGAGGAGTCCCTCAACACAAAGACCTTTAGACTCTACAGCGTCCTCTTCCCACCCCCGTCATGTCAGCTTCTTGGCACTTCTGTGATCCCTCAGTGAGCCCTTCAGTGGAATAGGTTGGTTCTGAGGTGCTCGGATGGCAGAGAGGCCTGGAAATACTAGAAACGTGTGAGCCATGAGCAGCTGGGGACTTCTCTGGAACTATGCCTAGAAGACCGTGTGTGGCCAAGGTGGTGAGACCTGGGCTCAGCCAGCTCAGGGGCAGAATGAAGGAGCCCGCAGAGGGGTCTACTCTCCCGGAGGCAGTGTACCCAGCCCTCAGGCACCCCTACCCCTTCAGACTCTGTCCTCACAGCCAAGCTGCGTCTGTCTTCATCGGGCATTGATTCTCCGTCCAGCCACATATTTTCTCTGTTGGGAATGATTTACTAGGGAGAGAAAACCGTTGTGTTAATGTGACGCGTTTGGGGACCTTGTGTAAAAAATATGTTGTCAGCTGTTTGTTACTTTGAAGAGGTTGGTTGGTGGTAGGAGGGGAAAGATTTGTTTGAACTGAATAAACAGGAGCGCAGAGTGCTCAGCCTGTCTCGGAAGAGTTAACTGAAGGAGCAGGTGACGTCAGTCACCATTTGAGCAATCTGCTGCCACCCTTCTAGTCAGGGGTCTGTTCTCATTGGCGATTGGCAAGGACCTACAGTGGGTGGATTTTTTTTTTTTTTTTTTTTTTTTTTCAATTAAGTAAAAGGGCAGGGCTAAGGCAGCCAATGACAGCTGAGCCCCAGCATATCTTGTTCAGGTTTCCCCGGCACAGGCAGCATTTCCCACTCTTCCCGCTGCTAGAACTTGCTTCCTGGTGGTGGGCGAGCACCCCACTTCCCTGCCGTCATGCTCTGCCTGTGCCTGTATGTGCCGCTCATGGGGGAGGCTCAGACCGAGTTCCAGTACTTCGAGTCCAAGGGACTTCCTGCCGAGCTGAAGTCCATCTTCAAGCTCAGTGTCTTTATCCCCTCCCAGGAGTTTTTCACCTTTCGCCAATGGAAACAGGTCTGTTACCTATGCAGTGACCGTGTCAGAAAGTAAAGGCCACGGGATGCCTAAACAATGTTGGTCGAATGAATGGTGTAAGAGGGTTTGCATGTGTGTCGTGGGCCCCACCAAGAGGAAAGAATGTCTGAAATGTGGCTACAGCTGGTCTGCGTCACGGAAGTGAATGGCTTTCATGTGACTGCCAGGAAGGTTGAAATTATAGGGGAAGAACTCGTGGGAGGTGAAATCTCCCAGAGGAATCCCCTTGCTGGGGGAGAGGGTTTTCTGAGAAGCACATAGGTCTGGGAAGGGGTTTGGGGTGGGGGCAGAGGCCAGGAGAGCACAAGGGGAAGGGCGGAGAGGCTTCTGTTTGGAGGCCCAGGAGCTTGGGACCGTAGAGTTGTGGTGATCACTCCCTCATGACGGCTGGAACTGGCAGTGCTGTGCCCAGGGCAAAATGACAGGCAGAGGTGAGGGGAGCGTCTCACATTCCAGACATGGCTCTCAGACATCTCTTTAGAGTAAAGAGGCAGCAGGGGTCCTTACCATTTTAAAGATGGGGAAACTGAGCCACTTAGGGTCTATGGGGGTCCCCTGCTGCTGCTGCTGCTTTGTCAACCAGAGTTCATGCTTTCCCCAATGCTCGCGATGGCACTGGGGGCTGGCCACTGCAGGGAATGGTGACTTGTGCATCCCAGCAAAGTTTTGAAGTAGAAACAAGAACTTTGAGACTGTTCTGAACTGAGCACATCATCAGGTTGCCTGGACCTCAGAGCATCGACCCGCAGCGAGGCCCACGGATTGGGGATTGGATGGCCTCGGTGGCAGAGCAGCCCAGAGATCAAAGAGCTTCACACATAACCTCACCTCCTCCCCAGATGGCCTGTAGATTCTATTTCTGCTCCTGCCATAAATCTGGGGTGACAACTTGTATCACTCTTGGCTAAAAGCATAAGAGTCTGCAGGAAGTTAATATAACTTCAGGTAGCAGATAAGCTATGTACCAGCATCTGTCCAACCTTCAGCCATACCTCACACTGTATGCCTTTTGATCGTGGGAAGGCACAGGGTACCTGTCCAGACCTTCCTTCTCTGAGCATGTCTAGAGGCTGAGCAAAGAACACATGTGCCTGAGAGAGAAATCATGGTTTTAATCATTTGAGAGTGGGAGCTAGCCAATGGCCCGTTAATTTTCAAGCTTCAACTGCTTGAAAGACTTTGAAACTCATTTTGGTTTATGGATAATGAGTGTATTTCTCTCTGAGAGCATCAGGGACCCAGGAAGACTGTACCCGTTTTCCTAAGGAGATTCTCCATTCTAGTTTTGGCATGATTCAGGGTGGTGTTGGGTTGTATTAACTCACCTGTGACCCCCCACGCCCTTGTGCCTAACCTTGAGGATGGCATTCGGATATCTAGAGAGGCAGCTCTGGGTTCTGACAGGCCTACCTCAAATTCCACCCACTACACTTCACTAGTTTTGTGATCTTGAATAAATCACTTGACTTCTCTGTGCATCTGTCCTATGTAAAATGGAGGAAGTGATAGTACCTGCCAAAGCTGTCGGAGGGTTTGCTGGTTTCTTAAAGGGACAGCACTTAACACAGCTTGTGCACGTGGTAAGTGCTCAGCAAATGGTCACGCTTTTATAGAGAAAATCCAATTGCTGGACATCCAAAATGGGTTGGAACTGCTAAACCAAAGCTCACCTCCTCAGAGACCAAAGAATAGGGCCTCTTAAAGGTCACTGAACTATTCTAAATAGAGCTATCCTGGTTTGAGTGCTAGGCTGAGAGAGCTGATGTTGGTTATATCACCAGTTTCCCTGAGATTTAGGACTGGCAGTGCCATCAAACCACATGCCTGAGCACAGTTCCCCTGGCAGACACCCTCTGGCCTCCAGAGTTCTCCCTGGCAGGGTTTCTGCCGAGCAGGCACTGGCAGGCTCCGCTCTGCCCTGTACCTTTGTTCTGGACACTGGCTTTCTCCTGGGCCAGTACCATTTTTAGGGGTAGAAAGGGCAGGCTGCAGAGAGAGTTCCTAGTAGAGGCTGGAGCTCCAGCGTCCCTCCCACATTTGGCAGGAGCACGTGAGGCTGAAGTCTGTCACCAAGGATGGCTCTGCGGAGGGGCCGAGCAGCTGACTCTGGGTGAGGACACTTGTCCTGAGAAGGTGCCAAGCCCTCCAGAGTTGGCCTTTGTTGGAGGGCTGCCCCTAGAAGCTCCCTCTTTCTCTTTACCTCTGAGGGAAACTGGATGAGCTCTTGCTTGGGCTCTGACCAGCACTTAAGGTGTAAGTGGTGGCTCTGGGATATGGGTAGATGCCTTGGTGGCTTTGGGAGCAGACCAGGAGAAGCATCTTGTGTTGCTGGCCCTACCTCTGTTCATGGATTAGGACTGTTTCCTTGGGTCGAGCCCTGTAAGGGACAAGGAAAGGCTTGTTGCGTGAGCTCAAGGACAGAACTTACTTTTGTTTTGTAGAAAATTGTACAAGCTGGAGATAAAGACCTCGATGGACAGCTAGACTTTGAAGAGTTTGTGCATTATCTCCAAGATCACGAGAAGAAGCTGAGACTGGTGTTTAAGAGTTTGGACAAAAAGAACGATGGTAAGCGTTGCTTCTAGGAGCCACCTGCTGACTCGGTCTTGGGACTCTCTCGGTGTGAGCGGCTTCTCACTCGCTGCCTTTGTTGTTGCAGGGCGCATTGACGCACAGGAGATTATGCAGTCTTTGCGGGACCTGGGCGTCAAGATATCTGAGCAGCAGGCGGAAAAAATTCTCAAGAGGTAAGTGTTTAGCCAGCCTCGATTTGTTTTAACAAAGGTGTGATGAAAGAAACACTTCCCGGACTAACTCTTGGCGCCATTCATTGTGTCAGCCTAGTTTCTCTGAACTTTGCCTTCTCCTGTTTGCAAGGATGAATAAGTCACCCCTCCCCAGACCTGTAGTTCAGCTCTCATTTGAAGACTCACAGATCACCTGGCGTTGTACCCATCCCCCAGTGACCCATGAAGAAAAAACACTAGTTGGGGAAGATTTCAAGTAGGTGAAAGGAGACCGAGGGGCCCACCATGCTGTACCTGGTTTAAGGTGGATTTCTTCCCTAAAGCTAGTAACTTTATTTTAATGCTGTAAGCCAGCATGTTTCCAGTGCAGTGGTGAGCTGGGCCCTATTTAGGGTAGTGGAGGTGTTGCTGTGCTGGGGATCACATGGAATAGCCCTAAGAGGGCCTTTCCCTCTCGGCTAAGCCTTTCCCAAACGCTGAGGCCCTGGTGCTGGCTGGTCCTGGGGCCAGCAGCCTCTGTGCGGCTCCCCAGGGTCAGTCACTGTGGAGGGATTGTGTCTCGTGCTGTGTGTCCGGCGTCTTTGGGTGTGTGCTTGCCTCACTAACACCTGCTCCGAGCACTTATTTGTGTTGTTTTTCCTCTCTCCTCTGCATCCTTCTTTGTCTGTCTGTCAGAATACAAACGGGCCACTTCTGGGGCCCGGTCACCTAGTAAGTATTCGTGTCACCCTGGTGACTGCCTCCCTCCTGACCAGAACGGGGTTCCTGCGGGCCATCATATCACCATTTTTGTGCAAAGTGGGGTGTGGAGCCACCTAGACTTTTCTCATCGGGGGCAGGGGGGTCACTGCCTCCTTGGCTTGCCTGGAGGTGGGAAGTGCAGCTGACAGATTGGGGGTGTCATCAGCCAAGGACCCCCTCGGGTGTTTACATGGCAGCCATGCGTTTGTCTTGCAGCATGGATAAAAACGGCACAATGACCATTGACTGGAACGAGTGGCGAGACTATCACCTGCTGCACCCTGTTGAAAACATCCCTGAGATCATCCTGTACTGGAAGCATTCCACGGTGAGACCCCCGCTCTAGTGCCCGATCACGATTTCTCTGTCATCCATTTGCAGACTCCCTTCAGCCTTGTAGAGCCATCCACACGCTCCCTCTGCACCCTCTGTGTTCTACATGCTGGCCAATCTGAGCTGCTGGAGCATTCCACACACAAGTCCCCTGCTGGGAGCCCACCCATCCCTATATGCTGCCTGTCCTTCAGGGTCCATTTCAAATACCCTTCCCCCCGATGCTTCTTGTTCTCCCAGAGCTAGTGGGCGCTCCTAGGGGGCAGGAGTCGGGCAGAAGAAACTACTCTGTAATGAGAGAGATATAGAGCTATTGCGTTTCCCCTCACCACTGCTCCGTTTTTGGGGGTCGTTTATCTATATGGCAAAAGACTGTCTCCACAACAGTGCCCATACTTCACTTTCACCTCATGTCAGAGCTGTCATTCCACGTCCAGAATACAGACCTGTGGCCACGGTGGCCTCCCTGCCCACGAGCCCCCTTCTTTTTCCTGGCCTGTCCCTCTCTGCTGGTCCTTGCTGAGCACCCCCAGCACGCGCACCCTTGATGTGCATCAGCTGGGTGTCTGTCTGTCTAATCTGTCCTGGATTGCCAGCTTGGAGAGGTGAGGCCAGAGAGAGGCTTGTCCTCATCTGTCTCCTCAGTGCCTGAGCCAGGGCCTCTCCCTCCAGGGACACCTGGCATCTTTATTGGGTGAAATGAAATGGCCATCTCCAGGGGTGGGCGCTGTCCCATGTCTCTGGACAGCAGCCCTGGGGTCAGAGGTGGCTGGCGAACTGGTGAGGAGGCCTCCCAGAAGAGTGGGTGTTACGCGGGCACCTGAGCCCTGACTGTTTGCTTAGGACTTGCATAATGTTCTGCCAGCGGGATCTGGTTACGCATCAGGTTTCAGAGGACTTGTTCCCTGACTTGATCCTTTGCATACAGGCTGCTGATCCGCAGCTGAAATGCCTCTGTAAGCTGTTCCTGCAGGAACTCCCCGGTGGCATTTGAAAGGGCTGTCAGATGATTTTATAACTCTGGATATATCTCCCCACTTCCCTCGGATTCTATACCTGGGCCTCTTGAAGGCCACAGACAGGAATGAGAGCTTGGCCCACCTCTAAGACAGTGACGGGGAGGGGCCTCAGTCGGCTTCCTACCCGGAAGCCTTGGCATTCTCACCACCTGTTTGGTGCCTTGGGATGCAAGCCATTCTAGAGGGTGGGAGCCTATGGACCCAGTCAGCCTGCCAGAGCTTTCCTGAGAGCGTTAGGGGTCTGCTTCTGCATATGTACTTTTACCTTCGTTGTTCTTCCTCACAGATCTTCGATGTGGGTGAGAACCTGACAGTCCCCGATGAGTTCACAGTGGAGGAAAGACAGACCGGCATGTGGTGGAGGCACCTCGTGGCTGGAGGCGGGGCAGGGGCCGTGTCTAGAACCTGCACGGCTCCTCTGGACAGACTCAAGGTGCTCATGCAGGTAAGCAGGGAAACGGGCCCAGACACCCCTGGGCTTGGTGGGTTGGGTAGTATTCCCCTCCCTTGTCTGCAGCCCAGCTTTGGGCCCGTACTTGTCTAACCCAATCAAATAGCCTGTAATTGTTGCTTGGACAAGGGTAACATTAGCTCCAGGCTTGGCTGGCCTTTTGCACATAGTGATCTAACGTTATCTGAGGCACTTGAGCCAGGCATCGTGTTACAGGAGTCAGGACTGGTGGACCCAGTGAGAACTGGGGTGTGGCAGGAACCTCCTTCCTTAAGCACATCTTGAAGGGCTCCACATTGAGGGGGAGACATGAGCATGTCCTCACCTAACCCAGGAGCCAGTTGGAAACACCCATACTGCTTTGGCTGGGCACTGGATTCCACGTCCACAGAGCAGAGATAAGCCAGGCTGATGTCAGGGGCAAGATTGTGAAATTGACCTGCACGAGGAAGTTCTGTTGGACTATGGAATCTGGCTAAGCATTGGCCAGTCACCTCCTCATCCCTCTGTTGTGTCCTAGCACTTTGTGTGCGGGAGCTTTCTTGGGAAAGGTGTTGTTTCCCCACTTCCCCTTTATCCTTCCAGGCCTCTCTTGGTCTAAAGTCTGTTGATGGCTGGATGTGAATTCCCCAGATTGTATTGAGGCAAACCTGGGTTCCAACCCTAGCACCCTCACTTCCCAGCTGTGTGACCTTGGACAAGTCATTTCATCTCCAAGGCTTCCATTCCTCTCTGAAATTAAGAGATTTGAAGAAATTGCCTACTCAGTTTGGTGTTTTATTTTGTTTTTCTGGTCAGTTTTTTTTTTTTTTTTAAATACCTAGGAATGTTTGTAGAGATTAAAAGTGAAATGCCGCATACCTGGATTGCTTTAAAGTAATCCAGCAGGATTTAGAGAGCCATGGTTTGATCATTCCTTTTATATATACTCTTGCGTATAAAAAGGCTCAATTTTTTATTTTAAAAAGTAGTCCCCAAGGACACAGGGAAGAGGTAGCCATGGGGCGGGGGGGAGTGGGAAGAGAGCTGTTACATTGTGGGAGATTGCAGTCAATGTCATGAGGCAAAATGTATATGAACTGCTGTATGGAAAGTGAATTTGCTCTGTAAATTTTCACCCAAGTCACAATAAAAATTTAAGAATTAAAAGGAAAAAAAAAAGCAGTCCCTGTGGAGGTGTTGGGCATAATGTCGGTACACAGTGATGCGTGGTAAAAACTAGTTGAACCCAAATTAGTCATGTTTGAGCCTCACAGTTGGGGTCTTCAGAATGCCAAGAGGTCAGAGCCTTCCCACTGACTATGATCTGTTGGTCAGTAAGAAGAGCTGCTTTGCCCAGCGACTGTGGGCCCCAAGTTTGTTCTAACGGCCCCAAGTTTGTTCTAACGGCCTTGCTTCCCCTCCCAGGTCCATGCCTCCCGCAGCAACAACATGTGCATCGTTGGTGGGTTCACCCAGATGATTCGAGAGGGAGGGGCCAGATCACTCTGGCGGGGCAACGGCATCAACGTCCTCAAAATTGCCCCTGAGTCGGCCATCAAATTCATGGCATATGAGCAGGTGAGGCCTGGGCTCCCCACAAGAGTCCCCCCATGCTGTTTACTGGGCATCCCCTGGACGAAGTCCCCACCCTGCTGGTTTCAGAAACCGGGAGTGAGTCGTCATACCCAGGGAATGTGAGAGGTGGGAGGCCTGGTTCTGAACCCCCTCTTCTGCCAGTGCCACTTGGGGCCAGTTCCTTCCATTTCTGGGCAGTGTAATATGTGCCAGAGACACTGGGTCACAACTGAGATATTTCCCAGCTTTCTACCTGACTGGCTCAATACGGACAGCTGGGAACAGGGGCTCTGGTCTCTGGGTGTATCATTATGTCTGCTCCCTGTTCTAGATCAAGCGTCTTGTCGGTAGTGACCAGGAGACTCTGAGGATTCATGAGAGGCTTGTGGCAGGGTCCTTGGCAGGTGCCATTGCCCAGAGCAGCATCTACCCCATGGAGGTAAGGGGCTACTGTGGTCCTGGCCTGGATGATGCCCCAGGAGCAGGGAGCAGGGACCTAGGGGTGAGGAGTGGGCTATGCTTATGCTTCTCTTCCTCCCGTCGGGTTCTGCAGGTTCTGAAGACCCGGATGGCCCTAAGGAAGACTGGCCAGTACTCAGGCATGCTGGACTGTGCCAGGAAGATCCTGGCCAGGGAGGGTGTGGCTGCCTTCTACAAAGGCTACGTCCCAAACATGCTGGGAATCATCCCCTACGCTGGGATAGACCTAGCCGTCTATGAGGTGAGGTCCTGGAGGGCTCAGGCCCCCTTGAACAAGCTGAAGAGCTTCAGAGCCCGCCCCCACCCATTGTCTCCAAACAGTCCTGTCTCCCCTCTGCACCACTGGGGAGGGGATAGAACAAGTAACACCGCCAACAGACCCATCTGTTTACTACAAGAGTCTGGCACAAGGGCTCCTGTCACACTGCCTGCCCCCTTTAGCTCCAGTGTATCATCCTGAGCCCTGCCTCAGGAGCCACACCCCAGGGCCCAGCAGCAGAGCTCCAGAACAAAGTCGCCTTCGAGGCTCCCTGCCCTAAGCAGGCTCTAGATCAAGGAGTCAGACCTTCTGTCTGAAGGAAGGAGGTGCTCTCTCTACCCCATTCCTCCTCCCTGGTCTGTCCAGGAGTCCCCACTGACAGCAAAGACAGTTTGCAGATAGGCAAATGAGTAAAGTCACAGGGGCCTTGGATCCCACGTGCCCAGGGGGCAACCTCCTATGTGAGCCCATAACCCCTCTCTGCAGCCACCATTTGCCAAGGGGATCACCGGCACCATGGCTTATCTCTTCCCTATTTCCAGACACTCAAGAACGCCTGGCTGCAGCGCTACGCAGTAAACAGTGCAGACCCCGGCGTGTTTGTGCTCCTAGCCTGTGGCACCATGTCCAGCACCTGTGGCCAGCTGGCCAGTTACCCACTGGCCCTGGTCAGGACCCGGATGCAGGCGCAAGGTAAGGCTGGTCCTGGGCCTATCCCCAGGGGCCTGTCCCACCAGGGGATGAGCTGGGATCTAGGGAGGTGCTGAGGCAAGGCCCTTGATGTATGGGTGGGTGGTCTCTCTCATTGCAGCTTCCATTGAGGGCGCGCCGGAGGTGACCATGAGCAGCCTCTTCAAACAGATCCTGAGGACCGAGGGGGCCTTTGGCCTGTACCGAGGGCTGGCCCCCAACTTCATGAAGGTGATCCCCGCTGTGAGCATCAGCTACGTGGTGTACGAGAACCTGAAGATCACCCTGGGTGTACAGTCACGGTGACGGGCTGGAGGGCCACCCTCCCAGCGAACTTGCTGATCCTGGACCTGCAGCCCCAGGACACGTAGCCATCTCATTCTGTGAATGTGCCAACACTAAGCGGACTGAAGCCAAGCTGTGAAAGCCTGGGATGTGCCTGCAGGGGAGGAGGGAGTTGGTATGCCCACCGGGTTTGTCCTGCTGACCCCACCGATCCTCACATCGATTCCAGGGGCGACCCATGGGTATTCCTCAGGGTCCAGGGGTCAGCAGGATCCAGGCTCTTGCACATAGGGTCAGGGACATTTCCTTCAGTGCCTGCCAAATAGCAGAGCTTGGAAGACCGGCTTAGTTCTTCCATGTCCCCCTAGCAGCCAGACCATCAGCCAGGCTTCTTGCCCTCTGGCCTGCTGAGCGCATTCCCAGGCCAGGCCCACTTTTCCTCCTGCCTCTCTGCTGTTTTAATATGCTAGAGGGGGGCTACCCACCCACTCCCAGCTCTCCTTGTCTCCCTCCCTCAGTCTCGTGGTGAAAGGATATTTCACCCGACTTCACCAACTTTGTTTCCCTGACCTGCTGGTTGTCGATGCTGACCTCGTCATGCAGGAAAAGGGCTGAGTAGCTGTCGTGCTCACCTGAGCTCACAGCACATGGGCCCTGGATGCCATGTGCATGCAGGGGTGGCCATCCTGCATCTTTGTCACCTGCCGTCACGGCAGAAGGCTGGTGCCAGGGCCTGGAACCCAGAGGCTCTGTTCCTTGCTTGAGGAACTCATCATGCTCTGAGCCAGCCCTGGCCTCTGACAGGACTGGCACCAGCTCAGCGCCAAAGTCAATGTTGCTGCTCTGTGGCATGAGGGTGATGGGGGCAGTGTTTCAGGGCGAAGGCATGTCTGCCCCATGTCTTCCCCCCTGGTGAGAGAAGGAAAAGGTGTTAAAGGCCTTAACTATGTATCGTTGGGAAGAGTTTTTGTTCAGAAAGACAAGCTGGACAAATGTACAGGAGTTTTACTTCCAGAGAGAAGCAAAGGAGTCGACAGTTGCGCTGATTGCATTAAAGTCTGTTTCTGATGCCCCAGGGGATTTATGTCCAATCCCAACTCGGGCAAAGTGGGACCAGCCTCACATTCCACTGAAGCAATGTATCACACTGCTTGGAGCCTATTTATTTTGTATTTATTTGAACAGAGTTATGTCCTAACTATTTTTATAGATGTTTAATTAATAGCTTGTCATTTTCAAGTTCTTTTTGTATTCGTATTTATGTTCATGGTTGATTGTACCTTCTTGGCACCCAGTGGTAGGGATGGGGAGGGGAAAAGAGAGAGGGGCCGTAGGAGCTACCCTGCCCACTATCCACAGTTAGGTCACGTCTGTCCAAAGAAATTCCTCTTGGAACTGGAGGCAGAGAAGAAAGGGAAGAAGGGCAGTAGGAGCTGGGTCTCCACTGCTGGGCAGCTGCCTGTTACATGGATGTCCCAGAAGGGATGAGCCCAGGAAACCTCACAGTCTGAGGGCCTAAAGGCCTGTCTGACTGGGCTGGAAAGATTGGGAGAAATCCCAAGGATGTTGAGAGGGCAGTCCAGGTTACTTCCTGGACTCAAAGGTGGTGTCATTTCACCCTTTCTGAATCAAAAGGTAATGAGGTTCCTCTCGGGTGTGGGTCTGTGGTGAGTCAGGTGCTAGAAGGGAGAGTGACCGGGCCCCCCAGCCCCATTGGTAAAGTGGGCTCACTCCCTCCCGGCCCTCTACCGCCCCCCCATGGATAATGCTGGTCAACTTGCAACTCAGCAGTTGCACTTCCATTCCACCAGAATGGCCTAATGAAAATTTAAATAGGATGCAAAGATCAATGCAAAAATTATTGTTATATATCAATATGTATAGTTACAACTGGAATTTGTCAAAGAGAAAATTAAGAAAGAATTGGAAGTTGTCATTTAAAACAGCCTTCTAATAAAATTGTTTCAAAGCTGACGACGGAACCATGAGTTTTGTAATTGGGGCTGAGGTGGGGGGTGGCGTTCATGTGCTAGGTAAATCCATTTTTCTCATTGGAAGCATTGGCAGCCAATGCCTGTCAGCTTCTTGGAGATACTCCCTTTAAAGGTATATGTGTATGTTAGATCTTGGGGTGCTCAGTGCCCACTGAGCTGCTGAATCTGGTGGCCACTCCTCAGCACTCATCTGATGGAGCCTGTCTTGGGTACAGCTGAACTCTCCCTCCTGCTGGAAATGCCTCTAGAAACTGTTCCTCAGTCACATAATTGGTTTCTCCCCATCGTTAGACCTCTCCTCCTTCCACTCTTAATGATCTCATTCAGTGTCATGACTTTAAATCTCTAGATTACCCTCATTTTATCCTTGAACTAACTACAGATCCATAAATCCAACTGTGAGCCCAATGTCTTCACTTGACTAAGGCATCTCCAGTCTAACATGTCTAAAACCAAACTTCCTTTTCCCCTCAACCCTGCTTATCCCATCCTTTGTCCTCTTCCCAGCAAATGGCAACACCTTTTAGTAACTTAAGCCAAACTCTAAAGTCATCCTTGCTTTTCCGCTCATTTTAGGTCAAATCCATCACCAAGTCCTGTCAAGCTCTACCTTCAAAATATATCTGGAATCTGACCACTTCACCTCTGCTACCTGGCCCAAGCCAATGCCATTTCTTACCTGAACTATTGTGGGACCTTCTAAACTTGTCTCTCCAGTGCCCCTTCATTCTCCACTCTGAGCCACTGACCCAGAGCCTAAGTCTGGCTCCTGTCACTCCCTTGTTCAGAACCCTCCAATGAATAGGCAAACCACAGAGTATTTGCAGTACATGGAATCTGGCAAAGGATTTGTATCCAGAATATATTAGTTTGTGTCCCACAATGTATAAGGCAACCTAGGTTAAAAATTGGTACTTTACATAGGGCACAAAAAGGCTTAATTGTTAGTTGTCAAGGGAAAGCAAAACCATAATGAGCTAACACTACACACGCAGCAGTGACTCAGGCCAGCAACTCTTGAGTCTAGCGAGAACATGTAGCAACCAGAACTGTTCGTCCACTGTTGATGGGGAGGTAAAATGTTACCACCTTTTTGGAAAACAGCCAGTTTCTAATGAACGTCATTTACCTAATGACCCAGCAATTCTACTCCTAAGTACTCAGTCCTCCTAAAATGAAAATGTCCACAAAAAAGACCTGTGGTTCATGCCAGCTTCATTCATAAGAGCCCAAAATGAAATAGCCTAGATGTCCATCAAAAGGTGAGTGGATCAACAAGCTGACAAATTCATGCATTGGAAGGCTAAAACAAATGTTTCAGACACCATATAACTCACCACATGTAAACTATATAGTGAATAAACCTGAATTTAAAAATAAACATCTTTCTGGTATTCTTTGCTTTCAGCCAAGATGCATCTGACATTAGCAGTGATACCCCTCATTCCATGTCCTCTTCTGAATCCAGCTTGAATTCTGGAAGTTCTCTGTCAATACTGCTGCCTCCATTTTTTAATTATCTTCAAAATTTTACTTGCATGTGATATTAATGATATTGTTAGAAAATTTCTACATTCTGTTGGATCACCTTTCTTTGGAATGGGCACAAATATGGATCACTTCAGTTGGTTGGTCAGGTAATCTCTCTTCCAAATGTCTTGGCATAAATGAGTGAGTGCCTCCAGCATTGCATCCATTTGTTGAAACATTACAATGAGTACTCTGTCAATTCCTGGAGCCTTGTTTTTTGCCAATGCCTTCAGTGCAACTTGGACTGCTTCCTTCAGTACCATTGGTTCTTGACCATATGCTACCTCCTGAAATAGTTAATGTCAACCAGTTCTCTTTGTACAGTGGATACAGTGACTATTCCTTCCATCTTTTGGTGCTTCCTGCATCGTTGGATATTTTGTCCACACCAGTGGAGTCAGATCTGACTCATAACTGACCCCTCCTTGGGTTTCCCAGGAGGTATCACTATGGAAGTAGATTGTCCAACCTTCCTTCCAAGGGAGTGCTGGTGGGTTTGAACCGCCAGCCTTCTGGTTAGCAGTCAAATGCCTTAAGAATTAAGCCACCAGAGCTCCTTCAATATTGGAACTGGAGGTGTGAATTTTTTCCTGTTCTTTCAGCTTGAGAAATGCAGAGCGTGCTCTTTCCTTTTGGGTTTCTAACTCCAAGTCTTTGCACATTTCATTATAATACTTTACTTTGTCTTCTTAAGCTGCCCTTTGAAATCTTCTGTTCAGCTCTTTTATCATTTTCTTCCACTCATTTTAGCTTCTCTCTATTCAAGAACAAGTTTCAGAGTCACTTCTGATATCCATTTTGGCTCTTCTTGTTTTCCTGTCTTTTTAATGATGTTTTGTTTTGTTCATGTATGATGTTCTTGATCTCATCCCCACAACTCGTCTAGTCTTCGGTCACTGGTGTACAGTGTGTCAAATCTGTTCTTCAGATGGTCTCTAAATTCAAGTGGGAATATAATCAAGGTTGTATTTTGGCTCTCATGGACTTGTCTTAATTTTCTTCAGCTTCAACTTGAACTTGCATATGAGGAGTTGATGGTCTGTTCCACAGTCAGCTCCTGGCCTTGTTCTGACTGATGATATTGAACTTCTCCATCACCACTTTCCACAGATGTAGTGATTTGATTCCTGTGTATTGCATCTGGTAAAGTCCATGTGTATAGTTACCATTTATGTTGTTGAGAAAAGGTATTTGCAATGAATGAGTCATTGGTCTTGCAAAATTCATGCGATTCCCCCAGCATCATTTCTATCACCAAGGCCATATTTTCCAACTATCGATGCTTCTTTGTTTCCAACTTTCACATCCCAATTACCAGTAATTATTAATACATCTTGATTGCACATCTGGTCAACTTCAGACTTCAGAAATTGGTAAAAATCTTCAATTTCTTCATCTTTGGCTTTAGAGGTCGGTGCATAAATTTGAGTAATAGAGGTATTAACTGGTCTTCCTTGTAGGCATATAGATATTATCCTGCCACTGACAGCATTGTACTTCAGGATAGATCTTGAAATGTTCTTTTTAACAATCAATGTGACACCATTCCTCTTCAACTTATCATTCCTGGAATAGTACACCATCCAATACCAGTCCATTTCAGCATAGTGGCTAAGACACTTGCCTGCTAACCAGACGGCTGGCGGTTCAAACCCACCAGCCACTCCTCGGAAGGGAGGTTGGGCAATCCTACTTCCATAGTGATACTGCCTCGGAAACCCAAGGAGGGGTTTGACTCGACGGCACATAACAACAACAACAACAATGCCTAGGATATAGATCTTTATGTGTTCCAATTCATTTTGTGCAACTTCCAATCTTCCTAGATTCATACTTCATACAATCCATATTAATGAACGCTTACAGCCGTTTATTCCCATTTTGAATTGTGCCCCACCAGTAAATGAAGGTTCCAAAAGCTTTATCTATCTCATTATGTCGACTCTACTTTGAGGAA